TGTGTGTGTGTGGCCAGCTCAGCCCACCAGGGGGCGGGGCTGGCTGGCATGTGGTGCTGGGGGATTGAACTGCAGTCCCTGTGCTTTGCTAAGCTTGTTCCAAGTAGGTGCTTTAGACCACTGAGCCCTTTTGCTTTATTTTTTAATGTAAACTTTAATTTCACTTTTTGTTAGTATTTGCTTGTAATATGTAATGTGCATGTTGCTCAGCAGGAGTTGTAGCTGTGTAAAACTTATCTTAACTCTTCATCCCACCCCCTGCCTTCATCTCTTGTTCCCCTTCCCTTTTGCAAAAGTGCTGCCTGCCAATTTCCTGTTACCTTTTAGTTTTGCTATTTCATTCATTTATACTTTGGATTTCTTTTCTTTCTTTCTTTCCTTCTTTCTTTCTTTCTTTTTTTTTTTTTTTTGTATTTTAGGGAAGGGTCTACAGGGTGTTCAGGGTCTCACTACTAGATTGGACTCGTAGTGATCCACCTGTTTATAGCCTCCCAAGAGTTGGGATCACAGGCGCGCCACCTCGCCCAGTCTCAGTTGCCGGCCTCAGTGTGCCCTGGGGGTGGGGCCAGCACGGCAGGCTCTGGGAATTCACCCCACGCCCACCCCCCACAGGCGCTTTAATCCGCTGAGCTATTTGGCCAGCCATTGGATTTCTCATTTGAGAGAAGCCGTGTGCTTTTTAGGCTTGTGTGTCTGATGTACTTCATTTAATATTGTGGTCTTAAGGTGTGTTCATTTTCCTACCACAGACTCAGACTTGGTCTTTACAGTGGAGTAGTGCTCTATTGGTGTCAGTGCCATGGTTTCTTTGTCCATCATCCATTGGCGGATAGAGGCTGCTTCCAGCACCTAACTGTGATGAGTTGTGCTGCAGTGAGCATGGTGTGCACGGACCATTGCAGTGTGATGTTTCAGGGTCGGGGACAGAGCTCAGTGGCATTAGTGCCTACCTGGCGAGCGCAAGGTCCCAAGTTCGATCCCTGGTACTGGGAAGAAAAAAAAGTAATGAGATGTTTTCAGCTCTGTCAAGAAGGTTGAAAGGGCCAGCATATATTTGGTTCTACATTAATGGAAGCTAGGTTGGGAGGGAGGGACGGAGGGAGGTGCTGAGGATCAGTGAGTTCAGTGCTTGTCTTTGAGGAGTTGGGGATTGGCTGTAGGGTCTCACAAGAGCAGGCCCTTGGCCACTGAGTTCCACTCAAAGTCTGCTCTGAGCCATCTTTCAAACATGGAATCAGCTCAGTACTGAGAAAGGCAGAGGGCCCCACCACAGAGGGACCTGAGGAGGGCGTAGGTGTGGGGAGGAGGCCTCTGCATGGCTGTGTGCTTCCTGCTCTGAGACGCCATGCCATGCCTGTCGCCCACAGCCGGAGTTCTTCCAGGTCTGTCACACAAAGAAGGACTACGAGGAGTATGGGCCCAGCATCTGCCGCCACAACCCTGTCTTTGGAGTCATGTCGTAGTGTCTCGTCGCCGTGGAGTCGCCATTTGCAGCATCGCCATCAACAGCTTCTGGTTGGGAGCAGCTGTCCTGTGGAGCCCGAGTGAGCGCCTTGGCCCTGTGTGCGTGGGACACGGCACATGCATGAGGCTCGCTCTGCGCAGTCCTGGCCAGCCACCATTTGTGTGCGACTGACCTCGTGCCCGTCCCGCCCTGAGCTTCTTGTCCGCAGTGCGGTTCTGAAGGAGTTCAAGCGCAGCTTTAAATATCCTTAGAGAACAAAAGGCGCAAAGTTGGCCCCCCAGGAAAGAATGGGGGCGTGAACCCCAATCCTCCCAGCTTATTTTTGTAAATAAAATGTTATAAACTTGAAATACAAATTGATGTTTATATTTCCTATCATTTTGTATTTTACGGTATTTGGTACAACTGGCCGATACTAAGTGCGAGTACATGTTGATGTCATGGAGTGCTGTATACAAAGTGCTAAATTGTGAGGCATGTTACGATACGTGTATAGGCCAACAATAGCATGGCGAGCCTGCCACGTGTTTGCTAGAACACGATTGTACTCTGTTGGGGCCCTGAAGGCCGAGCCCTAAACGGCACTGTATGAGAATTGCCGCAGACAGCGTGTCTTACTTCATGTGAGCTTTCTGAAAATGTTTTACAGAAAATGATGGTGATGTTGGTGAGTGTTGGGTGACAGACTACCTTTCAACACTGTAATAAAGGCTGTTAGAATCTTTGTAAATACTTGGCCTGGTGTAGTGTGGTGGTCTTTCTTTCTTTCTTTCTTTCTTTCTTTCTTTCTTTCTTTCTTTCTTTCTTTCTTTCTTTCTTTCTTTCTACTGGCAGTCAGACTCGCTGTCCTGGGCTTTCCAGGCGTCGTGTGCCTCTGAGCTGAGCTGTCTCCGGCTTGTGGTGGTCTTCGATCCAGTAGCAGGTGTGCTGGGGGGCACGCCGTGAGCAGCAGATGCCTGTGGTGCTGTGCCTGCCTGCCCGCCCGCCCGCCTGCCCGCCTGCCTGCCCGCCTGGGGGCCGGGCTGGCTGTGTGGAGCGGCCCTGTGTTTCCACGTCCCTCCTGACCCGAGGTGCAGGGCTGGGAGCTGGCAGTAACTTGGCATTTGCCGCATGGACTGCGGGCTCGAGGGTCTTGCTGCAGTAACAGATTTAGGTCTTCATGTTATCCTTATAGTATTTTTTAAACTGTTATCTATGATAATTCTTTCCAGTAGTGAGTGAGCTAGGTTTTATCCTGAGGTTTGCCTTTGTAGCTGTGTGGTTTTAGTGTTTAAGTTCAGGAGCAAGTTTAAGCGCTAAACTTAGCAGAGCTCCTTCCCCCACGCTTTCTGTGCCTGACTGTCAGCTGAAGTCTGAAAGTGTGAAGTGGAAAATTCTAGAAGTAAACAGACCACATCCCTTCACTTTTTTTTTCATCCCTTCACTTTTATTACACCTTATCATTGTGGAGATTCTGTTTTATTAGTTGTCTTTTTTGTTGGGGTTTTACAGTGGCTGGTTCCTGAATCTGCTCTGTGTAGGGCTGGTCGGCTGTGACCCAGTAATGGTACTTAAACAGGCTGTGTAGGAAGAAGGGGTTCACTCCCTTCGCAGCTCTGGAGGTTCCAGGGGCAGTGCCTACTGGGGCTTAGGCCTGGAGGGATCCTAGTGGCCACTCAGATGACAGCATGACAGCCTGGGTGGGGCAGAGGGCCACTTGGTCCAGAAGCTGGAGCCCCACCCACGCCCCATCCCTGAGGCCCCCCCGGTGCCCTGAGGCCCGAACCTTTGACACCTCCAAGGTGTGCAGCGGCCAGCCCCATCAGTACGATGGCATCCATGTGGTGGGGGCATGCAGGGGAGCCAGTATGTGTTGTGTACCCTCCCCCACCTTTGTCCTTGCTGGACAACTTGTCAGCCAGGTCCACGTTGGCCTTTGTGAGGCCTGGTGTGTGGGAGGTGCACTGGGTTACCTCTCTACCTGGAAGGAAGACCACGCGGTTGTTTCCAGCCATGAGTGCTCCAGTGCCAAGCTGCTCTGCAGGACCTGATGACCTCAGAGGGAAGATGGGTTGGGTGTTGGGGTGTGAATTAGCTTTCCGCAGAGAGTACAGGGTCGCACTGTGTACCAAGGCTGGCCTTGAGCTTGCAGCAGTTCTCCTGCCTCTGCCTTCGCAGTGCTGGGATAACAGGCGTGCACCACTACTGCTGGCTTCCTTAGGTGTTAGACTGTCTTCATTAAAACTTAAGTTTTTAAATTTTAACTCTAGGAAGTACCATGTACCTGAAGGGCAGACCGTGAGCCCTGTGATGCCGGAGCAGCAGTTGCCTGGCCACCTTCTCTAGGGGTGGTCACGGAGGCAGCCGGAAGAAATCCCCAGAGCACCTCAGACAAAGTGTTTTTATGGTCCGGATGGTCTTCCTCCAGCCATCCTATGAGCGACGAGCCCTGGAGTCCTCGCGTGACTGAAGTGCAGATCGTTTTGTGATTAATTCATTCTTTATGACCTTTCTGTTCTAGCTCATTTGTAAAAA